AGATTCCAAAGGAGTTGCTAAGAGATGAGGGGGCTTTTCAAGACAAGAACAAGGAAGAACAAGTCAGGAAATGAGATCTGTTTACCTGCCCTTGAATGTGGGAAAAGCAGATGCCGAGCAGAAGGGGATTCACCCCACGTTCGGCCTCTCCCACCCCCCTCCATCCTCCAGAGCTGAGAAGGTTTTCAGTCATAAGCCAGGCTCCATTCTGCACCCAGCGTTCATAGTACTTCACTCCATTGACAGCGGAACATCAAAATTCTCTCACATGGTTAAAAATTCTTGGAAAACACCATTTTAAAGACAGTATCATTACCACATTTTTAAAGAAGTATTTCCCATTTTGGACTGCTCTATTATTTCTATTTTCACCATTATATGTGGTGCTGCAATAAATCATCTTTATTTATGTGCCCAATTATTTCTTGTTTTATTTACTTAAACTTTTTCCTCATTAAAGTGAACCATACATATAGAAAAATGCATAAATCAAAAGTGTACAGTTTAATGACTTTTCACAAAGTGACTACCCCATAGAACCACCACCCACATCAAGACATAGAAGATTACCAGAACCCCCGCTCCTCTTATACCCCACATCCCATCACAACACCTCCCCCGCATAACATTATCCTAACCCTCAACACCAAGAGATTGAATTTATATAAATGCAAATATTTGTATAATACCGTATTTATATACTGTGTTTATATAGTATATAAAACATTATATATTTATATATTTGCTTATTTCTGTTGTATAAATATAAATGTATATTATATTTGTATGTTTACTTATATATATTTTTTAAGATTTTATTTATTTATTTATTTGACAGAGAGAGACATAGCAAGAGCAGAAACACAAGCAGGGGGAGTGGGAGAGGGAGAAGCAGGCCTCCCACGGATCAGGGAGCCCGATGTGGGGCTCAATCCCAGGACCATGGGATCATGAACCGAGCCGAAGGCAGACGCTTAATGACAGAGCCACCCAGGCACCCCTGTTTACGTATATTTTTGTACTCATACATCTTATGCATATTTATATCTTAGATATATATTTATATATCATCTACATATAAATTTATATTTGAACATATATAAAATTCACTGTCTTGAATTTTATATTGAATTTTATATTTTATATATAATACATATAATTTTATATCAAAATAAATTTTATATAAAATTCAAATATAAAATTGTACAGACCTTGAATCTGGTTCCTTTTTGCCTAGCATTATGTTTGTGAGATTCATGCATGTTTCTGCTCGTTGCAATCCTTCATTCATTTCCATTGCTACATATTATTCCATTCAGTGAATATCCACAACTTTTCTTTTGTATCCTGTTCAGCGTTTCTAGTCCCTAGCAGGAGCAGCAGACTGTTTCAAGCTCCTCCATCAGAGCCAGAAGCCAAAGTCCACTTTGTTCTTTTTGTTAACTTCTAAGAAGTAGAATTCCTGGACAAAAAGAGACAAACATTTTTTTAGGCCACTGCAGACCACATACTGCTAATTACTTTCCATAAGAGCTGTGACCATTGACACTCAAGGAAAAACACCCAATTCTTCTGAGGGGTGGGTGTCAGGAGGCCTCCTAAGGAGAGTAACAATTCGTAAAACCTAGTACTATTTCCTAGTATAAGTATAACTAATACATAAATTATAAATGTTAAAATGCTGGTATCACGTTTTATAAATCCCTGTGTGCTAGTTTATCTTTTCATTCTCACAGTCTCTGAGAGGTAAATGTTATTAGTGTTCCATTTTAAAGACGAGGGAACTGTGGCTCAGAAAAATTAAAGCCAAGGGCTGAGTCACATGGTTAATGAATAGCAGAGCATGGGTTCAGGCCCAGTTTCTCTGCCTCCACGGATAGTCATAACCCTCCTGATCTAAACCAGGCTGTATCTTGCCTAAGTCGCTAAAGAAGTACATTCCAGACACACAAGACAAAACTGGATGCCATGGAGAGGGGCATGTCACCCCCTGGTATGGAAATGAGCATCTTTGAAAGACCAGTTCAAATGTCACCCTCTTCCAATTGGGACCCTCCCCCATTCACCCAAGTGGAGCCACACCCTGTCCCAGGAAGGAGTTTTTGCCAGCAGATTCCTGGAATACCATTGCTGGGATCATTTGGACCAGGGATTGCGAAGTAGGAAGCACACATTAGCAACACTCTTCCCTCCCATGCCAATAGCAGACATAACTAATCAATCACCATCCAGCCACTGTCTCCCACGCTGAGCCCACCTCCATCTCACCTGCCACCCTGGCCTTGTCTCTGTTCCTTGGATGTGCCCACTTCCATCCTGCCTGTGCCCTGAACATTTGCTGCAACCAGATCTCCCCGTGACTGGACCTCTTTTGTCATTCAGGTCTCGGCTCAAAGATTACTTTTTTTTTTTAAGATTTTATTTATTTATTTGACAGAGAGAGACAGCGAGAGAGGGAACACAAGCAGGGGGAGTGGGTGAGGGAGAAGCAGGCTTCCCACGGAGCAGGGAGCCTGATGCGGGGCTCGATCCCAGGACCCTGGGATCATGACCGAGCCAAAGGCAGACACTTAACGACTGAGCCACCCAGGCGCCCCAAAGATTACTTTTTCACAGAGGTTTTTGCTGACCCCTCCCATCCCCAATCTAACGTAGCATCACTTTCTCTGATTTGTCGTGCGTAATATCATCATTTTTAAAATTTAACTTATTTGTCTGTTTTTGTAGCTGTTATTGTTGCTCTTTCCTGAAAACTGAAGCCTCTTCTGATGTGTTCACTTATCCCTCGTGACTAGAAGAGTCCCCAGTACTTAGTAGTCGCTCAACTAATAGTTGCTGAATGAGTCAGTTAATCAAATGCATTTTTCTGCTGAGTCCAGGTATGGCATTAAAACCCTTCCCATCACAGCATTATGGCCACTTGCTACCAGTAATCAGAATTTGAGACAAAGGATGAAAATTTTTTCTAGGCCTAACTCCTCTAATTCCCCATTTTATAGATGGGGAAACTGAGACCCAAAACAAGAGATACGGCTTTCCCAAAGCCACAGAATGAGCGAGGGGCAGAGCTGGGACTGATACCAGCTCCTCTCACCTCCCCATCCTACCCACCCACCGCCACCCCTACTCCACTTCCACATAGCCATGCCAGAAAAAGCTATCGTAAACTGTCAGCCACAAAGCAGAAGAGCAGACCCATTGTGCTCCAGGAGCTTGCCTATGAATTACGCACCTAATTACCAGCTGCCTTTTTTTTTTTTTTTTACCATTCTGCGGGTAAAAGTCTGATCACATATAAGATTCTCCCTGTGTTTCCGTGGATACAAAGTGATCCTAATTTCAAACTCCTTTGCAAATGGCAAATGAGTGAACTTAATTTTAATAAAAACAAGGAAAATCATACGTGTGAGCTTAATAAAATCTAATTTAGGCAATTTGGAGCTCATAAAATAAAGCCTTTATGTAAAAACTAGCAATTAGCTTCATGAAACAATATGATAAAACCTTGGCCTTGGGGAGGGTTGGGGGCCAGAGGACTCCAGGGATAAGGAAATGTGGCAATATTGTAGGAAGGCTAAAGAGGCAGGGGTGCATGGTTCTTGGTGTCAGAGAATTTGGGTTCAAGTCCCCAAGGTACCACTTAGTTCTATGACCTTAAGCAAGTCACTCTCCCTCTCTAGACCCCAGTGTCCTTGTTTTTTAAATGAGGCTAATAAAACCTATTTTACTTCGTAGGATGGCTGTACAGACAAATAGAAAATGAATAGGCAAGAGCTTTGTAAAAGTGTCCAACAATTAACGTTCTATCATCTCACTCATCTGCATTCTTCCTGGCAAGGAGAGGCAGGGACCGCATAAGCCAGGTCACGGGCTATGGCGTGGAATGGAGCTGGAGGCCAAGTGCGAGACCCTCCGCATTCACCTTGCACTAAGGTATCAAGGACCCAGAGCAGCCTGCAAGACACAGCGCCCACAGGTGGTTCACAGGAACCAGAAGCAAATCCACAAGTCAGACTGAGCCTGAGGACGTCCTGGGTCACTGCGCAGGCAAATCTGCTCCACCGACAGACGGATCCCCTTCACATACACATCTTTGCAGACAAGCTGTGTCATTCTCATTTTACAGGTGAAAAAATGAACCTCTGGGAGGTGCTGGGGGTAAACTCAGGTTCCAAAACCAGGTGACCCTGTCAAGACTCAAGCCAGGTGAACTGATCCGATTCACCGTGCCCCTCCCCCTTCTGCTCATCTCCACCTCCCGCAGCTACAAAAGCAACTGACCGTGAGACTGAGAACCTGGTCTCTGTTTTTGTCTCTTCTTCCCCAAGGGCCCTGGCAGCTTCTATCAGAGCCGCTGGGACCCACGTGCCCAAAGAGCATGGTCTTCATCACAGAAGCTCTAGCAAGCCAGGGCTTTTCCCGGTCTCTCTCCCAAGCAACCACTACTCCAGGCAGAAAGCAATTTCTTCCTAGTGCCTTCCCAGAAGCAAAGTGGGTAATTAATTGCACTGAATAACACATTAAATGTACTAATAATTGGGTAGTCACAGCAAAATGATTACTTTGAAGAAATATTACCAATTCCCTGTTGTTCTTAAGATTTCTCCTTATTTATCATTACCATTTTAATCAATAATAGTCACAATACTAATAAATCCATCTTAATTTTAATTGTGTTCAATTGAATATACCAGTACTTGAGTATTCTGAGCATACTTCATTATTTATATTAATTTAAGATCACTTAAAGGCAAATTACGTAGTTTGTACTTTCAGGGAGGGAGGTAATTATGACAAAGTTTCTCCAGATTCAGCATTTTCAAGCACAGAGTCCTGTGAGGTGTCAGGCACCTGCCCTTTTCTGTTAGGTGAAGGGGTCACAGATGGAGAAGATGAAGCAAGACTCTCAAAGACCCCACCTGAATTAGCATATCCTGTCCTTTTTAAAAAGGCTCAGGTCTCTGAAAGTATGATTAATAGCTCAGCGGCTTTGTCTTTACCTATGCCGCCCCCTCATTAACGCGGCATCCATCCGTTCATTCAGCAGCACCAAGACGGCATGCTCGGGACCAGGAGTCAGGGAGACGAATGAATGAGACGAGGTAGAAAGCATCCAGAGGCCCTGAAAGAGATTCAGATAAAGAGTGGCAGTAGTCAACAGGCAGAAGAGGTCAATGACGTGCAACTGAAGGACTCAGGGATACTTCTAGACGCAGAGGCACTTTCCTAGGTCTTGAGGGTTGGGTAAGAGTTGGCAGGGAGCCAGCCAGGAGGCTCCCAACAGACTAAGGGTTTCCAAGGGTAATGGCAGAGGTGATATTAGTGAAGGACCGAAAGGAAGAACATGGCAAGGGTAAAGTTGACCCTCAGGTATGGCTTTGAACGATTGGGGGTGAGTGATGCCTCAATGAGGGAGGAGGGAAACTAGGAAGAAGAAGCCAGGTTTAGGAAGTAAGAAAATGGGTTTTCTTAGGGACACACTGAGTTTGAGGGGCCGTGGAGCAGCCAAGGAGGAGACGCCTAGCAGATTGAGGGGAGAAGCTGGCTGAAGCCCAGAGCGGTGGTCAGCACTGGAGAAGGAGGTCTGGGAACCTCAGGAAGTCAGTCCCATGGGAGAGATGGATGACAGTCAGAGTCCTTGCCTCTGTGGGCTTCAACGTCACGGGTATGAACATGGTCATGTCCGTGAGTCCCTCGGACGGCGCAGCCTAGGAAGCTCCTTCTCCCCTCCTCTGCCCAGGGCCTGGCATACAAGGCATATCTTTTAAATCAGGTCATATTGAATTGAAACTACACAACAGCTATGTGGTCCCTGGCCGCATTTTGTCAGGGCGTCCGAATGCCTGAGGGAGTAGGTACGGGAGAGACCTGCCCAGAGCAGTGGTTCTGGGAGCTGAAGGTGTCGGCAGTCGTGCGCGGGTCTCTGTCTCCAAGCTGCTCGGCATAGCTGAGATGTTGAGTTCCTGCACCTGCAGTGATTTGCTGGGGTGACTGCAACGGATGCTAATGATTTCTAGAAACCTACAAGTTGTAGGAGGAGAGGAATTTAATGTGAAAGAGGCTCCACCTCCTGGCAATATTCAAAACCAACATTTCTTCAGCACTTTACAGTTTATAAGCTTATGTCGGCTTTTAAAGTCTCATTTAGCTCGATATCTTGATCTGGAGGGTGCTTACCTGAGGTACCTGCAAATGTAAAGACAATACTCAGGCGTATAGTTAAGATTCGCACACCTCATTGTATGGCAGTAAAACCCTCTAAATAACCTCTCATTTCATCCTTGTAACCATCCTACGATGTCGGCGTCCTTCTTAGCCGCAAGTGAGGCTGGGCGACTCACCCTAGGTGCAGAGCTGGGGTACTCTCCGGCACAAATCCCCCAGGTCCGATCTGGATGCCTAGGATGATAATGACATTAGTAGGGCTTAGAAGGACTGAGGAGGGGGCCATTGTGGTGTCAAAAGGCCCATGGAGATCTTTAGGGCTGAGATCTACTGTCTCCATTCAGCCTACCCCTTCCCTGGGACCTAGGTTTGGCCTGGGAAGACATTTTTTGGGGGGTGCCCATTTCTCTTGGACAGAAGCTCAGGACAGGCAAAGTCCCAGGAGCCTCTGCATCTCAGGAGTCCTCCAAGTTGTTCCCCACTGAGCTCTCAAAGCTTTGGGAATTTGTACAAAATAAATAGTATGAAAGAGATTGCCAACTGGTTATTTACCATGGCTTACTGTTCATTCAAAAACGAGCAAATATCAGAATCTATCAGGTCCTTGGGCCTCTGGGAGGGAATAGGGCTGGCTACTCCTTTCCCTGCCCAGTGTGGAAAACAGACCCTTAAAGAAAAAAAAAAAGAAAGAAAGAAAGCAATAGAATGTGAGAAGTAGAAGAATACGCACAGTGCTGTGGAAATCTTGAGCATAAAGTAACCAGTTCTGCCAGGAGGAGTCCAAAACATGGGGCTTGAGCTGGGCTTCTAAGTATAGTAAAAACCTTGGTGAATGAAGAAGGATGCGCACTCCAGGCATAGCATACGAAAATCCGCCGAGGTGAAAGGGTATCAGATGAAGTCAAGGAGAGAGGATGTGGGAAGAGGCTGGAGAGGTAGGAAGGAGGTCAACCAAAAAGGGCCCAGGAACCTGGTTCCTTTCTCTCTATCAGCAAGGATCCATTCAGGGTACCCCCATGCCCCTCAGGGGGAGAAGTACCTGTGGTTTCAGTGGACCTTTAAAAATGTTTGCAATGCGGGTGTGGCAAGCCTCTGTTCTTGTCCTCCTGCCAACAGCCAAGCCATGAGTTGGCACACCCTGACGGGGAGCTATGTAGTGTGCCATTTGTGTGGTTTATGATGTTGCCGTTGACACTTGGGAACTGTTCCCTCTGGAGTTTGAGAAAATTAGTCCCCTCCATTTATCTCCAAGTTTCCAGCCTCAAGATGAGATTGAATCTCTGTCAGGTATCAGCTTTCAATGTGATAAATGGGCTCTTGGTTTCTGTCTTCATGTCTGCAAGGGCCAGATTCCCAACTGGGGTGACTGATCCACCTGGGGAAATAGCATTTGAAAGACATGAAGGACAAAGACCCACCCGCAGCTCCCCAGGGATCAGGTTGCAGACAGGGCTCTGACAACAAGAAAAAAAAAAAAATCTGACATCTTTTTGCTCAAGCTAGATGCTCTTGAAACAATATTCTCCCAGCTCTCTAGACCAGGGATTTATTAAGCTATCAGCAGCTGACTCTGAAGTAAACCACATTCGTGGCTTTATATTCTCACTGGTCCTTCCACCTTCCCCCAACCCAGCCAGCCTCCCCCCACCCCTTAATCTGAGGCGCTCCACGTAGGCCACAAACAGGTCGAGTCCTATGGTTTGAAAACCAGAGCTCCAGTCTCTTCTCTGCCAAGTTTTTAGGGCAAGACTCCCCAAGGAGCCTGCTTTCCCACCTGCAAAATGGGTGTGCAAGCAGCTGCCCTAAGGGTTGACTGATTTACTCGTGTATTATTCATCTGATCCACTGTCTGCCTCTACTTCAGACGCTGCACCAGGGTCTATAAACCGCCCCTTCACTCTGGAGGTCCAAGGGGAGAACCAACTCCCTGTGGCTGTGTCATGTGCACCCCCGCGCGTCTTAATCAACGTTGGTCTGGTGGTCTGACGCCCAAAGGGCTCCCGACAGGAAACCACCCCCACGTTTAGGTGCACAGGCTTTGGAGTTCCATCTGGGTCACTTACAACCTGTCCTTCCAGCGCAGTATCCCTAAGTTCCCCAGCCTTGGTGTTCTCATCTATAAAACGGGACCAAGAGCTCTCTCCGCAGAGGGCTCTGAAGGAGTAACTGGAATAACGCACCTAAAGTCGTTACCAGAACTGGCTGGCACGTAGTAAGTGCTCAACAATGTCACGATGAGGGTCGTCATCGGGATCATATCTGAGAGCAGAAGAGCCCGGCAGCCCGAACCACTGGGCTCGCGGGGAAGGGCACGGAAAAGAGTGAGCGAGCCGCGCGCGCGGGCCCCACGTAGTGCCACGGATTTCTCTGTTTATCCCTCGAGGCTTCCTTTCAGCGTCTTCTTCCCCGACAGCTGCTCTGTCAACAGTCCATATGCCACCTCCGCTATGGAGCAGCTTTCGAGAAGGGGCTGCCAACCCTGCAGGAGAACTTTGACGAGGAGTTCAGGGGCGCGCGCGGGATCCATCTCTCCGCCCCCCGCGGGCCTCTGGTTCCTTCCTGCTCCTGCAGCCTCCCCCGAGCCCCTCCGGGGAGCGCGAGTGGGCCCGGGAGGGAGCCGCAGGCAGCCGGGGCTCGCTTCCCAGCACGGTGTGCACGTGGCGAGGAGGCCAGCTGGAGGAACAGGAGGGGACAGATGCCACGGGGGCCCAGATTTGTTCCTGCAGGAAGAATGCAAGGAGCTAATTGTCTCATTACCGGGGATCCGTCTCTCCGTGGCCCTGCCACGCCTCGTGGGAAGAACTCCCGGGTTTGTGAGTGTCAAATAGCAGGTGGGCAGCTCTGGGACGGAACCGGGAGGCGGTCCTTATCCGCCTGTACTGCAGCCTGAGCTCTACTCTGGGCCCCCAGGCCTCGGAAATACTGATTCAGAAAATTCCACCGAGGCTCCACATCCTTTCAGCTTACTGGACTATTGGAGAGAAGGCCACCTTGGTGCCCCTCTCTTCCCCCAAAACCCTCAACATGAGCACTCGCGCGCACACGCGCGCGCGCGCATTCCTTACACTCTGTCACCAGTCATTTACACTGGTTTCCAATTCATTCTTTAACACGTGGAAGGATGTGGGTCCTGGCCTGGCTCTTCTCTGCGCTGGTTCTCAGCCCTTCCTGCTGCCTGGCCTTGGCCGTGCTCCCCGTCCCTCCGCCATCCCCCCCACCCCGCCCCGTGCCTGCCCTTCTGTGGCTGACCCAGTGTGGTCAGCACCATCCCTCGGGGGCCAGTTCAAGATCTACCTCTTCCTTAGCCTTTTAGGGTATGTATTTCCTGCGCCGCTAGCTTTAATTTCAGACTGCCTGGTATTAGAAGATAGTGCCTCTCCTTAGTTCCAGAATTCCCCTCACACTCTCCCATCACCTCCTCCTAGGTGAGGCCGAGTGAGGCAGGCACAATGGCACAGCGCCATGGAACAGAAGACGGGAGGAATAGTTACAGCCCACTCCCACATGCTGCCTCCCCTGGGGAGCCCTTGAAACGCAGCAGGACTAGACCCTACTTGTCTGGCCAGCACTTGCAGACAGAATTCTGGAGTCCTGGCAGTGGACCATCACCGCTCCCAGGCTCCTAGCTCCCATTCAGAGAATTCTGGCCTCACAATCTCACATCGAAGGTACGGGTGAGTTTATCAGTAGGGACTGCATTTAAGAGAAAGTCAGTTAGTGTGTGTTGAACCAAAGAGAAGGGGCTTACTTTTTCCCACTTAACAATGCTTCATGGCCATGCTAGAGCTGCAAGATGGCGGCTCCCTCCCAGCCTCACATTCGCATTCCCGAGGGAAAGAAAAAAGAAAGGAAGCCACAAGATGGAAGGAACAGCACCCACATCAGGAAAGCAAAACCTTTCTGCGATATACCCAACAGCCTTCCACTTACATTTCAGCAGCCAGAATGTGTCACATGTCTACCCTCGGCTGCAAGGGAGACTGAGAAGTGAAGTTGTGCAGCTGGGCAATGTGCCACCCCAAACAATATCAGGATTCTGTTACTAAGAAGAAAAAGTAAAAGGACATGGATGTGTGACAGTGATTTAAGATGTGACTCCCTCACTAGAGAATAGGCTCCGGGAGGTCAGGGAGCATGTGTGTTTATGCCCACAACTGTGTCCCCAGAATCGAGCCTAGTGCCTGGCACACCGTGGTTGCTCCATCAATGGGCAGAAAGAATGAATGAATGAAATGACTGCTAAAGTCATTGTTTTTAGAGCCTTTTTAAGATCTAGATGGGCTCAAATGTCAGGCACTAGAACTCCTGTCAATCTTTCCACACAGGTGGTATTTGCCAGACTTCAAAGGCCTCTTCCTCCTCCAGCTGCTGGTGACGTCCCCCTGTGTCCTCGGTGTGTTACTGGGATGATCTCTAATGCACGTTCTCAGATCACAATCAATCAAATCTGCAGCAGCTCATTCTGGGTTACCTGGGATATAGACTCTATATTTTAGTTCATAAACTAATAGCTGATTATGAAGCACAGGATAAAAAATATCCAACATTGGTACAGATCATCTGTAATTACAAAGACAAGATTGGGTGTGTCTATGCATAACAATTGACTGGAATTCAGGTTTTTAATGCAAATATTTATTGCTGGATACATAACACTTTGAGGAAAAGGTAGTTTTATGCCTCTTAATAGAAAAGACACCTGCATAGATTAAAAAAAAAAAACCAGCTTCATAAAATGCTACAAATTTGATAAATGAATAGAAGCATAAAATTTACCTAGAAGTGCTTTAAGATGAACAAGTTTTAAAATAGCTAAAATGGGTTTTTTTAATGACAAAAAAAAAAGACTAGGGCACCAAATCAGAGATAGAAATCCTTTTTAAAAAGATCACATCTTGGATGAATTGTTTTTAGGGGGGGGAAATGGCATTAGTTTAATTAACTAGAACCTCCAGGAATGGGTTGTGTGGGCTCTGAGAAGGTTAGGACAGCCCCACCCCAAAGACGGCAGGGGTTTTGGTGGCCTCTTCTTTTCCCAGTAGACTGCAATGTCTCAGGTCAGGGTCAGAGGTCGGGGCTAATGACGCCAGCAATGTTTGCTAACTATACACACTAATAGCACTTCATTTCAATGCATTTGGGATTTCACTGATTCCTCAGACTCTAGCTCCTTTGAGAAAAGAAAAGTGCAGCCTTATTAACCTAACTCAGGAGGCTCAGCTTCTTCATCTGCACAATAACTAAATGTAACCATCCTATCTGCCTTCTCAGTGCGGTTGTGAGAATCACAGAAGAAGAAAAATGTGAAACCATGGTGGAGTTGGTCACATGCTATATCAGTGCGGGGGATGGGGGGGAGGTTCAAGGTCAGTAATGATTCATGGGGAGCATCTTAATGGGATCACATCCCCAGCACTGGAACATCTATCTACCTATTAGTCATCAGTGGTGTGCAGGTTTACAATGATTCAGGCTCACAGAAGGAAAGGACTGTTGTCACACTAACAGAAGCCACATGGGGGCCAGGAGTCTGGAAATCTGAGCTCTCGTTCTGCATCGGACACTCTTGCCCCATGACTGAGCCAGTTACTTCCATCCTGTAAGCCTCAGTCTTCACATCTGAAAAATGGAACTAACTGATCTCTGGGCACACTTCGAGCTCTAACCTAGTAATTCTGATAGGACAGAATCCAGAATCCCAGCATGGCATAGGGATGGAATTGGGAATGGTTCAGATGTATGTCCACCGTGAGACCCTCTGGGAACCTTTCCAGGTGCCCCTGACCTGCAGGTGTCAGTCTCTCTGAGGTGATTATCTCTAGCCTCTCAAGGGTACTACTCTGACTCAGAACCTTCCACGGTCCCCGGGAACAGTTAAGCTAAAGGTCTCAGGAGAGGACAGAAATGCCACCTCTACTTCAAGCTGTGTGGGAAGGTTGCTGCCCACCGAGGGTGTGACTGAGGGATATCGAGGCAACATTCCTAGGCTTCACCAAAGCAGTTCCAAGAGTCTGCAAACAGGTGTTGGCTTGTTAAGAGAAATAATTTCTGTGGCTCCCCATTCTGACCACATTAGTCATTCAAGTGCTGAGGAACAATATAAATTCCTGTCATCCCAGTTTATGTGGCCACTAAGATTTATTCCAAGGGACAGGTCATTAAGGTTTCTTCTCTTTTTTTCCCCTCGGATTCACTGAGAACTCATATTTCTGCTCCATGTTATGTACTGCTAACAGTTATGTTTTTGGTCAGGGAGTCAGCAATAAATCTGAATTTAATAAACTGACAAAAGATCACTATCCCAGAGACAGTCTGAGCCCCTATTCTTCGTCTCCTTGTATAAAAACGCTTTTGTATTGAGACATCTTCCACATAAAAGTCACATTTGCCATCTAACTGTTCGCCTTCCCCAGGAGATGACTTGCTGTACCGAGGCTGACCGAATAATTATGGACTGTTCTTGTCGGAAGGCCTGGTCGCAACTGTGCGGGGTGGAGAAAGATCTGAACTCCAGGATCTGCCCATTCCTGAGGGTGAGACCTTGGCATGTCATCAAGTCTGAGCCTCGGTTTCTCCATCCATAGAATGGAAAGTGTAATCTTCATCCTGTCTACTTCCCAGGGGTGCTGGGAAGGTTCGAGTTAAGTAAGGGCGGGATGAAGCTCTATGCGGTTGGAGAGGATTGTGACCGCTTTGTTTGTTTTCAATTTTCAGCATTTTAGAGTTCACTTTCCGTGGAAAAACTGAGCTAGCAGCAAACGGACATCGACCCCTAGAGCACCAACTCCCTTTTCTGGTGTTCCTTCAGTTAAACCACATCGCTCCCCCAAGGCTCACCCCCTTGCTCTTGGAGCAAGGTTTAGGGGGGCAGTTCCCTGGAGTTTTCTGGGAGGTTTCAACTCACTACATACAGCTTGGTCACAGGGAGGTTTTAAGAACTTTCTGCCTAGGACTAGAGTTAGCACCAACCTGTCTTTGTCCACCCTCCATGGAAGCTGATGTTCTGGCTAAACTCTACAGAGCATTCTGGGTGTCTGGGAGGCATCCCCTAAGATCCTAGCACTCCTTCCAGAAGGCAGCAAAACTATTGTAGGAGCAGAAGGTCAAATCTTTTTCCTACTGGGGCTTTCAAACGCACCCTCAGAACTTAACTCTGCTCCCGCAGCTGTGGACCAGAAAAAGAGCTTTTAGAAGATTAGCATGCAAAAAATGCATCAAGCTGTCTGTAAACTGCTGTCTTCAAACCCTCTATAAACTCCTGTCTGGATTTGTAAATAACAACCATATAAGGATTTTCCCAGTAAACACTGCAGGCAGAAATGTATAGACATTTCCGAGAGCTTGTTTCTGACTAGTTGAACAGAGCTTATTAAAGTTATATTGTGTGCTTTGTCACTCTTTTTACTGTTGTGTAACCTCAGCCATAACAATTCTTATTTACCAGCTTCTCTCTGCATGTCTCTGCAGTCTCCAACCAAAACTTGATGCAGATGGTGGAAAAATTCATCCTATTGACTAAAATTAGAAAATTCTAAAACTGGAACTGTTTTAAAAAGTAACATGTGCTACTCTGAGCAATAGTGAGTCTCTCACCACTGGAGGTATGTAAGCAGAGACTGGAAAAATATCTGCTTCATGATCCAAAGAGGAATTCCAGAAATTGGGTGGGCAATCAGGTGAGACTACCTACTAGTTCCTGCAAATCAGAAATTCTGGGAAT